TCCAGCCGGACTTGAACCGTTGACCTTGTCTGTGGGGGCATGGGAGCTTAACCGCTAAGCTATGGGACCCATACCCGAGAACCAATTTAATAAAGTGCAGGTTATACAAATTTTGATATATTTTTTTAATAAATTCATAACTAGCTCATTATACTATTTTCTTAATGACGAATTCTAAAAAATTTTATAAACTTTTTACTGTAACATGATGAAATTTTGATTAACTCGTAATAAAATTGCAAACTTTATCATATTACTTTCTGTTAATGACAAAATTTTATTATAAAAGCAGAAATTTTTTCTCTTTTTTTCAATAATATGCCTCCAAAAAAGCGAAAAATTATTCAAAGCGAATCATCCACATCCTCATCCTCTTCTCAACCCATCCAACACCAATCTCAATCCTCTTCCCAACCTGTCTAACAACAATCATTTGCTTAATCAGAACAGCAATTCCGACGAACACGATCTAAATCCCAACCTATCCAACCTGACCAACAATCCTGACAATCCCAATCTTGACCAGTAACTCCACAAAATCAACCGACACCTGAACCTGTAGCATATACAATTTAGACTATTTCAAGTCCAATAGTTCTTCCCAGTTTTTATTTTATAAAAAAAAAATTAACTATATAGAAACCTAGATTCTATACTTTTTAGTAATTATATAGTGATTATATCATAATGATATCATTACGATATAGTTACTATATAATTCTGAAAATTATAAAATTTAGATTTCAAATTATTGATATTATTTTAATAAATTTATTTTAAATTAATTCTGTTTATTTAAGATCTTACTACAGTTTTAAATTTTTTGGAATCGCACCTTCATAGAGATCGCACCACAACTCTCGCAACTCTTTGAAGCCAATTTGGTCTTTTGACCAATGATTTGATTAATGATAGTGTTGATGCCATGATGGCAGTGCTTTTCCCGAATACTGCCAGATGATCATGATCATGATCATCAACTCCAACCCTACCAGAAAATTTTTATTTTGATGAGTTAGAGGATTGGTCTTATTCACCACCACATCCTGTTGTAGCAAGAGATAGTTATGAAGCTAAGATTCTTAAGGACAGACTGAATCTTCCTTCAAATTACTATGAGAATGGAAATTTTCCATCAGTTCCACGCCATGCTCATGACGTACTTGCATCGTTTATGAAGGATGGAAGAAATATGTTTTTTAGACAACTATGCAAGTATTATGCAGTTAATAATGTAATAATATTTTATTTAATTTTATAACTAGTGATGTGCATTTTTTAGTTCTTTTCGGCATCTGATTGGTTGGCAAAAATTTTAGCATATGGATGCACATCACTAAAAGAAAAGTCTTTAGTTGTCACACATTGTATATTGAAATAATTGCAAATATGTTTTCTTGCACTATAATGCATGACAATTAAACAACTTTTTTTAACTCTGGCTTTCTAAACTCTACCAGGGTGTTCTTCAAAAATATGGATCATGTAATGGTGCCACCTATGTTTAATATGCACAATATGCAAATATGCAATATAGGCAATATAGGCAATACAGGGTCAAAATTTTTATAGCAATAGTACTTTAATCCAGTACTATTCATCTGCTGCAACTACGGCAGATGGCCCTGGTAGAGTTGGTTATCTATAAACTATTTATACATGCTTTTTAATTTAATAAATTAATGATTAAAAAACATAATTATACTGATACCTTCTATGTATTAATAAAGAGTTCCCAAAATAGATCAATGAACTCTTTAGGGGTAAATTGCATGCATTATTTATCTAATACAGAAACCTTGATGACTCCAAATCTAATGGGATAATCAAGAAGTTTCTAAAAATCTTGGTTCTAGAAATAGGTGAACAAAATTTTGATGACGCAGCATCAAAATTTTGTTTCACCTTTATCGAGTGGCAGCATGTTCTTTGGATGAGGATCAACAAATTGTTCGAGGATTTGCAGAGAAGAGTGAAAAAGTAAAATAGTTATTAATTATTATATATTTTTTTAATTTTATTTTATTTTATATTGTGCTTTTTTTATTATCTAGTGATGAGATTGATAAGATTTTTGCTGCAATGACGGTGAGAGATGTTCAAAAAGTGTGGCAGCAGTTCCTCATTAACATTAATATTCCTGCAATTTGTGAAGACTCTACCATCGCTAATAATTTTAAAAAGTTACTTTCTGATGTAGTTCGTGCTAGACTATGGGCGATAAATTTTTTTTAACCAAAAGACACTCAAGCAATATTTTTTAACTTAAATAATGACTTGTACACCATCAATTTGAATGTTTTAACTCTTAGTAGTTGGAATGTTGCATCATCAATTGATTTAAGTCACTACAACTTTATGGCTCAAAGAGGTCCCGAAGCTATTGAATAGGTTTTTCTTGTTTTTGCTTTTTGCTTCTGTTTTTTATTTGCTTTGTTTTTTTTACTTTTTTTTAAATATAATTAATATATAGTTACTATATAGTGAATTAACATAATGTGTGAAAGCTTTTTTCTTTATATAATTATAAATATAACATCTTATAATTACTAGACTAATTATTAATATTTTACTATAA